GGGAGTGGGGAAGAGACGGAAAGAAGAAAAAAAGAAAAAATAATAAAAAAAAAAAAAGGTAAAAATAAATTAATTAATTAATTTATTTTGGAAGAAAGAAGAAAACAAAAAAAAAAAAAAAGTTGGAAAAGCAAAGGGAAGAAGAGGCAACTGAAAAAAAAAAAAAAAAAAAAGAAGGGAAGAGAAGAGAAGTGAGAGGTGTGAGGGACACGAGGGGTGAAACAGCAGCAGCAGCAGCAGGCCGAACAAAGGAAGAAACAAACAAACAAACAAACAAAAAAGAGGAGCCGACTGAACGTCGAAGACAAAAAGAAATATTTAATTTATTTATTTGAGGGAAGTAAGAGGAAGGGGAGAAGGAAAAGAAGAAAGGGATGAGTGTTATCGTAAGAAATTCGACCGCGCTATTGTGCGGTGCCGTCGTCCACATCTTTTTCTTTTTTATTTTTATCCTTTTATTTGGCTCGGGCACAGCTCACGTTCATGCAGAAGTTACGGGTGTCGTGACATGGAAGTCGGATGAAAGCCCTGCTGGTAACACCAACGGCTTGTCAATACCGGTTTTGTCAGCTGATGGAAAAATCACGGGGTTTGCAGAGGTTTTACCGATTCAAGGCGTTTTTTTGCTGCGTGATACCAAGGGGGGAATTGTATCGAAGATTACGGATAACTCCCTACTGGATTGCACGGATCCCACCGGCACCTCATTGATCAATGATGGCCCAGCTGTGATGATATTCTGTGGGGGGAAAAGTTCGTTTTTATACGTGATGTTGAGCGGGGGAATGGGTTCCATGCGTGTGGTGGAAGTCAGTACGGAAAGCACGTTTTATCCTTCTTCGTCATCGTCCCCAACCCCATTGGTACGTATCCGTGGCTCATCGCCGGAGTCACGAAAGGATGCAGTGTTTGCTGTCTCGAAACAGGGTAAGCTGGACTGTATTGGTCAGTATGCATTTGAAGAATCGGTTTCTTTGTGCGACAAAGACCCCATTGTGGACTTTTACTTCCCAAAATGGGTACCCATCACAAGCGATGAGTCGGGCCCTGAAGGATTTATAATCACGGAAAGGAAATCAGCGGAAGGCTTGAAAATCGATAGTTACTACCTACCAGATTTTGGATACTCTGCCGCACCAAATGCATCGGCTACCTTGGAGTTTGTTGGCTCGAACAAAGCGGTACACACGAATGTGAATGATATTTCGCAATCCGAACCTCTTATTGCGTACGTTCAAGGGACCGCAGCAGAGACATTGAAATTGGCCGTGGTTGTTCTTGATGCAAATTCGTTGGTGAGGAAACATTCTGGATCCATCGACGCCGGTATAGCGGTCAGTGAATCTACTCTTGTGACTGGAGCTTACATGGTATCAACTGGGCGTGGTGCCTTATTGATGGTTCAAACAAGTGCATTATTGATAGCTGTGAATTACACGGTCTTATCTGAAGTGAATGCCCCACTATGGACAGCAAAGGCGTCAACGACTGCGGGGGTACTTTTTCTGCCTTTTCGTGCAATGGAAAATAGTTTTAAGGAATACTATCGTCGCATGTTGTCGCCATCTTTTACAGATTACAACCCATATCATATTATTAAGGCAAAGGAGGTTCAGTTTCTTGAGTCGGCTAAAAATGTCACTAAATTGGGTATTTTAGATGGATCTCTCAAGTCAAGCTTTGACGTGCCATGGACTGGAGCTTCTTTCTGCAGTGAGGCGGATCGTTTGGCCGCCATCACAGCCTTTGATGAATCAATGGTATACCTTGGATGTGAGAACAGTGGACGCTACTGTTTGGTTGACCCCATCGCCTCCAAGCCTCATTATTCCATCACATTCCCATCTATGGGCCAAACTGAGGGTGGAACATTTGGATACCTTCTTGATGATCATTCTGTTGTTTTATGTAATGGATCAAGATCCGCGGGTCTTGCGTTGCATCCGTTGTTACTTTACAGTGAATCCGTTTTGATACCACAACGCGATCCTCCAGTTGGTGCGTACAACCGTGGCCGAATGTCGATTGTGACAACTAACGTCACAAATCCTGGAGAGATGCTCTTTTATTTTTACGTACATGACACGGCTGGTGATAGTGGTGGACGCGATCCCCTGCCACCCTCTAATGGTCCCGTGACTCTTATGAAAAACGCCTCATCTGCCAAACCTTTTACGACGTTTTTTGGAGATGGGAATAATTACGTTGCCGTGGCAACAACTCCAGGAATTGTCTCCATCTTTTCGGCTGCGAATGGGGAAGCTGTGATGGATTTGCTGCTCGCCGGCTGTGTTCCAAGTGGAGCGAATCCGGATTCCGGAGTAATAACGTTTATGAAAAGCGTACAACATTTTGGGAATAAAGAGGATTATTATGTTCTGCTTGGCGGGACGGACGCGTGTCTTTTTGAGGTAAATGATAGTTTGGTGGCGCGTGTTACTTCCCTTCAGGGATATCAATCCGGTGTTGTGGTGGGGACGACAAGATACAGCGGTTATAAGTTTGTCCCTGCAACCAGAACATTGCAAGCATTTACAAGCTTTTTTGGCCCTAGTTCCATGCCGGTGTATACGGAAGCAGGTATTGATTCTTACGTTGTGGGGTCAAATGTGTTTGTATACGTCAAAGATGATGAGATCATTTGCCGGAGCGTTCGAAGTGACATAATCGTCTGGAAATATAAATTTTCCGAGAAGTTTCAAGGACCTGTTGTGCATATGACATACTACAACAATACAGTCTTTGTAGTGAGTCAGCGTGAATTCTTCCGCTTTGACGTTCAACATTATGAAGACGAGGATCGTTATTCACGTTTACTTTTTCAAAACGGTTTGACTGAAGAAGATGAAAAGTATTTGGGAGCCGCAGTGAATCAAGGTATTGTTTTCCTTTTTTCTGGTCAGAAAATTTACTGCCATGATGCTGTGAATGGCAAACTTATCTGGAAAGCGGATCCACGGATTCAATATGAAGCCAAAGATGCAAAAGTTGAAGCGGTTATTTACTCTTCGAGCGACACGGGTGAAGTTTCGACTGGTGATATTGGGACCGCATATATTGAGGTACGTATGACCGTGAGCCAGGGAAATAATAAACCTCGGTTTACCCATGTGGATGTGTACGCCCAGGCCTCTGGAGAACTGTTGAAAAGTGTATTGGATGCACCAAATGACCTTACCGGTCCTGTCATTTGGGGTAATAAATATGTTACTTTTTCAACTTTAACCAAAGGTTTGGTGACCTTTCGTGCT